TAATAAAATGGAACGTCGAGGAAAACATAGAAGACGGATCATATGTATGGCAAAAAAAGTGGAAGATTCTTTTCTGCTTCGTTGTTACTACAAAATATGAATATAAAGGGAAGAATACGTTTATTATAACTGTATATTTTAAGGTGGACTGAATATATGAGAGGGATTTAAAATTATATCTGTTACTTGGAGGTGGAGGAGGTGGGTGAACACTCTGAAAAATTCTACTATTAAATCATTTAAAAATTTTCCTTACTTTATGTACAGTACTTCATGCACTCAAGTAGTGAAAATTTATTGAAACGTTATCATAATAGATCAGTGCTTCTCAGCCTGTTTTGCTCCATGCACTCCTTTCACCATTGCCAGATCATCCTCCCCCTTCTTTACAAAACTCGAAAAATACATACACATTTATTTAGATTATTTTTAATGCGCTTTTATTAATTTAACAACCGAAACCCATAGAAGATGTTTATAAACACCAAAACTTGAATAAAAGTAGGTTTTTTTTTTTTTTTTATTCATTAACTAAATACTTAAAAAGCTGAATAAAAGGCTGACCGCATGCACCCCCTTGAAACTATGAAATTCTCCCCAGAGGAGATTTCCTCATGTTGAAAAGCCTTGTAATAGATCATAATTTGCATGTTATTCACGCCAAAAAAATACTATTGTACATAATTATTACCTTAGTGGCAGCTGACTTCATTAACCTATAAATACACAACACAGTGTAGTGCTAATTTATTGTTTCTCTGCAGTACAGTTTGAGTCGTTGCAAGCAGTGCCTTATTACGAGTATAATCGAAACAACTTAAGGTATTATAGTACATATATTGAACACGGTAAAATGTACATTGGAATATTTGAGTAATTAGGATAATTATGATCCCCATACATCTCTACATAGCAATATCTAATGCTAGCAAAAAAATGTTAAATGCAAAAAAGAAGATTACTGGTTGCTAGAGTGCAAATCTGAAGATGGTAGTTGCGGAAGCATTGGAACTAATAACCGTATAATACACATGCTTACGGCTCTCAAGATTCCAGTTAAGATAGAAGGGTAATTGTTCCTTTTAGATTCTTATTCCTTTTGGATACATATAATAAATATTATATATATTATATTACGAATTTTACTACATTATAGCAGGTGACAGGTGACGGAGGACGGGGACGCCTGGTGTTTAAACGGAGGTAAACAGGCATAGGTCCCACGCCCTCCCCTATATAGATACAAGAACTCCCTGGGGTCCCACAAGGGCGCTCCGAAACATAACATTACATGTAGCACAAAAATATCCTTCCAACAGCTTTTCTGCAACATTCGGGGCTTTAATGTTGAAAATTTCAAGGTAATTTAGAAGGTATTTCTCTCGCCGTTTTGGCATGCCTTCGTGGTGTGATGGTCTGCACGTTGGGCGCGTATTTCAGAGGTCCGTGGTTCGATTCCCGGCGAAAGTGTTGCTCAATTTTCATCTACAACAATTACAGCGAGTAATCCTGCTACAAATCACCAGTGCGTATAGCACCACATCAACCGCAGCACTTCAGGTTCTAGCTGGCACGCTCCCACTCGACCTAAAAGCAGAATTAGAAAGATCAATCTACCGACTTCTACAATACAAAGAGGACCTTTACTCTCGCCACCCTCTGGACAACGAAGAGATATTTTCTCTGACGGATAAAAAATTTGAGGAGGAGTAGGGGTAGCGTTCACTGTCTTTTCGAACAATGAAGAAATTTATTAAGCACAATTCCGTCAAAGCAATCACGCTTCAGTCTTCCAAGCCGAGTCCCTCGCTCTCAAAGCAGCAGCACTATGGTTACGTACGCAACCAGCAGCTCACACTTCATTCTTCACAGATAGCATGAGCGTTCTGAACGCGCCGAATTCCTTTCCTCCAAAACATCCGCACACGACAGCACTTAAAGAAATCCTCTTGACGTTAGGATCCTCCATCCCTTTAAAGATCAACTGGATAAAAGGGCACTCCGAGCAGAAAGCCAACGAAAGAGCTGATGAACTAGCTAAGACTGCAACTGTCAAACCAGAAATTCACAAGGAAGTTCCGCTTTGTGCAGAAGTTTCAAATAGGCTCCTCAAGACAACATTCCAAGAGACATAGTCATCACGATGGCAGAAAGAAGAGAGGAAGATTTACTTACATCATCTTCCCTCAAACATCACCTACCTTCAAAGAGGCTCAAATGCAACCGACTCTTCCTCCAGGCCTGTACAAACCATGAGAAATTCCCAGCGTATTACAGACGATTTCTCAGACGGGACGTCAAATGTTCTTGCGGTTTTCGAAGGGAAGACGCGGACGCACTTCATTGCCTGCTCTCCTGCCCTCTGACAGAGCACCTTCGATAGCAGTTCTTTCCTTCCGACTACATCACATATCCTGTGAATAGACCATTCACGGACTATTACTGCAACAAGGGCATCTTAGAACCCTTGTTGCAGTAACGTTGCCCTGGCGATATGGATAGCGAGGCACGTGTTTGATAAGCAAGACGACAATCAGTAGAAATAATTACCGTACGTTGCGACGCGTTATCCTATTGAAATGTAAGCTGTCCTAGATGTCTCCAGAGATGGATTCCAAGTCGAATAAACCCGGCACCACCGCAAACACGCTTGTTGGCGTGCACAGATGATGGACAGTCAGCGCATTAGGAGTCGTAAGCGCAGACATTCTCAAAGTCGCCTATGAATGGTTCTTGCGGCCACTGATGTCTCTGTTACATGTCAGATCGTTAGTAATGACAAATCAGGTGATGCAAGAGTCTGTCTCCTTAGATCGACCACTGTCTTCCTGCTCCTGTGTTCTACCATGTTTCAGTCACTCCTACCATCATTGTCGAACACGGCATAGCTTCAATTCAAATGTCGAGTGATCCTTCGATTTGACAGCTGTGCTTCTTTTAGGTCGATTTCACATTCTTCTTTAACCCTTTCGCGACGGGAAGCGCAAACGCGCGCTTACCGCTGAAACCGGCAGTCTCTTTCGCGAGTGTCCGTCCGGGCCGGACGGTTTTCTGCTATTAAGCCTAAATCCACGTGCCAGCAAGAAACGCACTCATTTCCCGGCCGGCACGCTGGCGTGCCAGAGCGTTTCTCGTGATATAAACATTCGCGTTTCTATCGCAAATTCTTTTGTATTCTTTTTTTGCTACTAAGTAGAGTCTTTTAGAGTTACTATGTGAGATTATATTACGTTTTGCACTGCTTTTATATTGAAAAGCCTTCAGTTTACTTATACGACTTCAGTTTCTTATGGCGAGCAAGCGTTATTTACCGGCCCACCAGCAGTCGCTGAACGGTTAAGTCGCTGAACACTGGTAGTTCGGTCCGAGGTTCGAATCCCGCGAACGGGCTGGCTGCATGGGCGTTTTTGTGGTTTTCCCCATGTGTAACGTGTATACGAGCCAGTTTCCCTTAGAAAGTCCTCCACGAAGGCACTCCTCCTCTTAGGCAGATAGTCCTCGAGGCTTTGCCATAATCACACACACACACACGTTATTTACCAGACGAATGATAAACGAGCCAATTAGTGATATGAATAAGAGTGACGATTCATCTTCTAAAGAGTTAGAAAGCGGTTTTTCTAGTGATTGCCATATGGATGTTTTATCAGTGAATGAGCTCAATGAGTGTTCAAGTTCACGTGAAAGATTTTTAGTTTTTTTTAAACAGACTTTCTTGTACTTTTTAATTAATTTAAAAGTTTTTTAATGTATTTTATCTATTAAAACCACAGAAAATTATTTCTCAAAGTGAGCAATTTTTTTATATATTTTTTCATGTAAATTAAAGGAAAAAGATATTTAAACGCTAATTTTAACGTATGCGACAGCTTAAAAAGCCCTCATAAAGCATCCATAACATTCCTCATAAACATTCTTTTCCTCTTATGTTTATATAATAAAAAAACCACGTATACGTGAGTCATGCTACTCTCATTTTGAGTAGAAGGTCAAATCTTACATGTATCTGAAACCATATGGACATACAATGCCATCTTCTGCCAAAAGTTATAGTTTTTAAAAAGTTCCAGAACACTGGCACAAATGTGTGACGGCCAGGGGTGTACGAGAAAACGCTCAGGCACGGCAGCGTGTCGGCCGGGAAATGAGTGCGTTTCTTGCTAAGCACGTATACGTTACAGTCGACGTGAAAAGGTTTACTAGTGATACATTCTCATAGTGTACGCTAACACTTTGCGAGACATTGGTACAGTTGAAGTGGATATAAATGGATGGAATAAAATTCGAATGGAAGTCATGCTCAAGATTTGAAATGTCTCCTCTTTAATAGACCATTTGGATGCTCAGTTTGTGATGCTCTGTAACTCCAGCTATTCAGTTACTGGATGCCAGAATTTAATCATTTTGGCATTCAAAAGCTGGAAAGTACATGTGAAAGCACACGAAATTTCGTTATAATCAGGGAACTACTTCTTGGTGCGTTTCCCCCCTGTAAAATGCATATTTAAGCATTTGCACCTTAATTGAATTAATAACATTTTTAACATACTGTATTATTTTCTCAGCTACAGAAAAATCATGTTCTGAATCACGACGAATTTACTCTATTTTTTAATTACTTTAACATTTGCTTTTTTCTTTTTTATTCTCTTCCCCCTTATTTAACACTTGATATTCCTCTCTCATCTCTTTCTATTCTAATAAGAATTAGGAAAAAGTCTGGAATTTAAAAATATAGCAATATCCAAGTACGCAAGATAAAACTTTCGTACCTAAATGTACAAATGATGTGTTTGTGTATATCTAGCCTTTCAGAATGTATTTATTAAAGAAATACAACACTTGTAACACATGAATTATTGATATACATGCATTAAAATGTTTATTCACTCGAATTTTTAGGTTACAACTGCCACAAAGCAAAAAAAAAAAAAAAGTCTGAATTTTTTGGTCGGTGATCCATAAACTAGAAAATAAAAAATAATAACTCTATGTAAATATTGGTTTTCTTGTACTTTCTTTATTGCTTGGAAATCAATATCACAATTTAAAGTTCAGAAAATGGATTTCTTTCAAAGATATGAAACATAAAACCACTCTTGTTATCAATGGTAAAAATACACGATTCAAAGATTGAGGTAAACGTCTAGTTATACGAAGCCACATTTCGAGTTTTTTTAGTTTATATAAAATAAAATTTTCTTCTTAGTCACTGTCAGTCCAGGAAAAAATAATGCTATCAAAATGGATGGAACATCTTTTGTTATATAAATCGAAAGGTATTTTAGCAGAATTAACCTGCTGAAAGTAGATTAAGTTGCTTCTGAAGACTTTCATTTTCCGAGTTTGCTGCTGTCACAAAATATCCAGAACCTGAAACAGAAAGTATTTATATATTGCATCTCGACTGAAATTTATATATATTACTTTAAAGATGAAACAAATCAATCAAATTGTTACAGAAAACCACCTTATAAAAAGTGCAATTTAATTTTATGTTAACAAGAATCTGCGCACTTTAATTTAAACAAAAATTCTTAAGTGTGATCCAAATAGACAGTTATATGGTAAATATAGTTCTGTAAACTTAAAATAAGGGAAATCAAAATCGGCCTTTTCATTAGGTAATCTGAGTTATAGCAAAGAACGCAACTATATGCTTTAGGGAAGCCGTTTGATAAAACACTGGGAAATTAACTGGCTCTCATTAATGTTTCAATTAATGGAAATAACAAAAAAATCTCACGCTACCAAAGCATTTCATTAAGCCTGAAAGAAGCTATTAGTATTCAGTGATTTTACACACTCGACCCCTGGTGGGCCAACTTAATTTCCTTCATGTCCTATTTAATACGTAGCCCAGACAGTATAGTGGTTAGGGATGTCGATTGCGAAACTGGGCCCGGGTTGGAATATCGGAGAAGGCATGGATATTAATTGTCTGTTCCCTCATAGGAGGGGGACGATGCCCACCTATTAGGTGCCTCTATAATAGAATGACCACCACTTCGCCCCTTTAGAAGTGGCGAAAGTCTAAAATTGGCTAGTGCCCGCCATTTTTTTAAAACCTATTGAAATGGGCAAAAAAGAAAATAAACAAAAATCTGATTTATTCTAGTGCAAAATATCTCTAAAGTTACCAAAACCTAATACAATAATTTTCGATTATGGAGGTGGTGTGGTGCGGTGTGGTGTATTTAATTATGGCAAAGCACACTAGGGCTATCTGCCTAAGGGAAGGGATGCCTTTCGTGGAGGACTTTCTAAGGGAAACTGGCTCGTATACACGTTACACATGGGGAAAACCACGAAAACGCCCATGCAGCCAGCCCGTTCGCGGGATTCGAACCTCGGACCGACTACCAGTGTTCAGCGTCTTTACCGCTCGGCCGCTGGTGGGTTCGATTATGGAGGAAGCAAAACGGTTTTTTTAAATTCGAATAATTTCTTTCGTTAATTTTCGTTATGCATATTTTGATTCAATTTATGCCGTAAAAGAAAAATCCATTTCCCTATGGCAAGCAACGAACAGAGAAGATATATTTCCACTAGAAGTATGAGATAAGAATGAGTAAACCATGTTAGGCAGTTAAAACACATGGGCTTCACACAATTCACCATTCATACTTTGTTCGAGACCAGGAGAAACTAAATTTTTTGAAGTTGCTGTATGAGAGGAAGCCGCTGACCTATCCAAAGAAAACGTGCGACTAAAACAATATGTATTTTGTTGGAGAAATAATTTCAAAATCAGATTAAAGAAGTTATTGAAACTAATTTATTTAAAAAGAAATTATTGAACATTATTAAGAAGCAGTAGAGGCTAAACTACGATGAAGGTTCTTTCCTAATTAAAACTCCGCTTCTACAGTAAGAATTTGTTGACATTTTTCAAGTACAGCGAATATGATAATTTCATTCATTTAATTACGAAATCTAGTTCGAACAAATTGCTCTGATTATCGCGAATTAAGGGAATTAAAATCATTTCCAGGATGATGACGTTGAGAGATGAGTTAAGTAAGCAATTTTTTTTTTATCTGAAAAGGTTATGATAGAAGCTGTTTGTCAAGATAAAGTTTTTTGAGGCAGTTACAAGAAATAATCTAATATTTTAAGTTCACAAGAGCATGGCAATAAAAATTTATTTTTGATTTCATTCCCAAGAGTAATCTACTGCCTAATGATGCAATAAATGGAATTCTGCAGTAAATGTTTAATGCATTAACTTTAGGGAAAAGATCAAATAACTATTTAAAGTAAATAATTAAGTAAAAGAAGAACACTTACCCGTAATTGGCAGTCATTCTGCCGTTTTTGTGATGACGAGAGTAAATAAACCTCCAGGGATTCACAGATGATGAAATACCGTACAGTGCAAAAGCTATCCAGGTAGCAAATAAATGTAAGTGTTATTCACATTTAGCGGTCATAAACAAACTAAAACGCCGAAAGTTAATCGCACCAGATAAAAAATACTTCGTGTATAACACCCGTATGATAATCATAAAATATATACATGTTATATAAAGCAATACATGAAGGTCTGCCAGTTTTAAACTGCGCATCGATATTTACAGAATTTCCTATTAGAAACATGTAATATTTAATGAATTATTACATATTTTAGTGTATTTACTTTAGTAGATAGTATTTACAAAGCAGCATAGTGAGAGAAGAGAAAGGAGTTACTTACTTCTTGTAAATGAAGATAAATCGTGGAAACATGTTAAATTTTCACATGCAAATGAAAAATTGCAGTACTACTAAGCAAAATATACAGAATATCTTACTTTTCCAGGAGATCTAAACTTAATTATGCACCGATATGCAGCAGAGCTTCGGAAACAGAGTTTTAATGTTTAGTACTTACTGGAAATCTCCATTGCATTCTCATAGTTTTAAAAGGCTTTCTTAAAAAATATAAAGTAAAACTTAAATTATCAAAAAATTAATAAATACAATGATTCCATTGCGTACGGTAATTAGAAGGGTCAAGGCTTTAAAACATTAATGCAGCATTTGCTTCAAACCTATATAGTTAATTATTAGCAAATATTATCTGAGCGAGAACTCTTTTCGAGTGATGATCATGAAAGCAAATTTTGAAAATTATTAAAACTAAAATACAGTTGAAATGATTACGAACAGCATAGAAGAAAACTCCGACAAAAGCTTCCACGCAATACCTTTGAGTCAGTAAACAGAAAACATAACTCTCAAAAGAAAGTATATTGAAATGAAATACGTTTCGAAATGATTATCAGTATTCAAACACCGTGTAGCACTAATTAAAAATTATAATAAAATTTGTAACATAACGGTGCAATTCGAAAGTGTTACTTATAATACAAAATAACTTTATACATCAGATACACGAATGCCGTAATTCTAACTATCAACATTATTATTTATTCGTTTGAAATATATGTCAAAGTTTCAATTTTGTTAGTTCGTTTAAGTGCATGTTTGCCTTTCACTTCAGTTACCTAAATGTATCCAACTGACATTTTTATCGGTTACAGAACATCATCATCAAGTTACACCCATTTAAGGCCCGTTCATTGGTCACGGGTTAAAAAAAATTCTTCGACAGGAGGAAATTTGTTGAAAATGACGAAATTTCTTCACCGTAATGTTTTTTAATTTGTGGTAAAAGTTAAGCTTGCCTAAAGCAGCTACGCTTTGTTTCTTAATCGTACATTCAAATCAAGTGATTTAACCACTTTATGGATTAATTCTGATTATATTTCTGAAACTTAGAATATGTTAACCAGCGTAAAATCCTGAATCAAATTTAAAAAGAAATTTTTTATCAATAATATGAAATTTTAAAATTTCATATAATTAGTTGTATGCTTTTTCTTTAATCTCATTCCTGCCACTTCCTTTTCTTCACGCATTTAGGCAAAACCATATGATGCTAAAATATTATTTAATATTAACAATGCTATTTTTCTCGTAGCATTTCGAACAGAAAACAGTAACTCACATTAATTAAATTTTAATGTAATACGTACCTTATATCACTGGAACTTTGCTTGAAAAGCAGTAAAGCAAAAGCATAAACAATAAAAGGCGATCGCAGAATAAAAGAGAAGGCAAGGAATCTCCACATTAAAATATAGTTTAGTGCAAAGATAAGCCTTTTATGAAATTTTCAGCAGCGTGGATGAGGAAATATAGGAATATTATTATATTCCTATATTTCCTCATATACTGTACACATGGTCCATACGTACAGAAACAACAGAGTAATACAGACTTTTCTTTTGCCTCAATAGTCTCTTTTTTACAACTCTGTGGCTGTTATCTCTCATTACTTGGCAAAGAAATTACTACTTTATCCAAGCACGTAAAATTATAATTTTGTTTCGAATGTCATGAATCTATTTAAATTATGTGTTCATGAAATACAGACTAAATCAATTCTCATACTACTTAATATATACTTTCTGTTTGGTCACATTTTTTAGAGAGATTTCTTTTTCAGTTTCGCATTTAATATACTGCTCCATATATTCCGGATCACATATCTATTTCTTGCATATTTCCTTCTCTCGTGGCGCAAAATTTAGTATGGGGACAGAATATTAGAAATGGTATGGACAGAATATTAGAAATGGTATGGACAGAATATTAAATGGTATGGACAGAATATTTAGAAATGGTGGGTATTGGGACAGAATATTATAAAGTCATTTATATTACAGAATTATCAAAAGATCAAGTTCACTTAATTTCTCGATAAAACGATTATCATCGATTCAATTGTTATATGCGTCACGATTATTACTTCACTACATTAAACAAATAAGTCTATTCAGCTGAAATTAAACTTCGGTACTCGTTCACTCAAGATTTTACATTCTAACCTAATATCTAACTTCTTAGCTAGCTAGACTTCTAATACCCAGCTGGCTAGCAACCTAGCGCACGCAAGCACAAGAACGAACAAACAATCAAGCAAGCAAAAACCCACACATACTTTTTACCAATACATTTCACAAGAAAACAAATACATAATTTCATTGTTTTCGTGAACAATATCTCCCAATATACGAAATAAAGTTGTAAAACTACAGTAGAAAAATTTATACAATAGAAATAAATCAATTAACATTCAAAAGATAGGGACTAGATCATCATATAAAATATGTGCACTATTCTGTATGAATTAAACCATAATTTATGAAATTAAAATTTATTCATGAAAGAAAGAAGAACTGAATAAATATGCACTAAGACACAACAGATATAAACAGTAAAGCAAAGTAAGAACATTTATGTAATTATACCTTAATACATTTAAAATAAGTTAAAAGAAAATTCTTAGTGCTTACGCTAAAAAGTAGATTAGATACTGTGGTTCC